GAGCGGGCACTTTCGGTGAGGTCAAACTGCAGTTTCTTCTCACTCGATTCCAGCTCTCCGAAACCCATCGCTTCAAACTCACCCCACTTACGATCCTGTCAAGGCTCCGGAACCGCTCTTCACCGCGATTGCAGGCTTCAACAGGCCAAAGTAGTCCATCGGGCTGTCTCCCAGAGTGGTACCGCAGTGGGAGGCGATCGACGCATTTGATGACCAACACCCGTATCTGGATGGAAATAGGCGGCAGTCCATGCGCTTCTTGAAACTGTCCGCATAACGCGGCGGCAACTTGAGCGTGGGAGGCGCAACTCGCTCCCAGTCGCGAGATTGAACAAACGGATTCGAGGGCGTGTGTCACCCCGCTTGGAGCTCGAGTAGCCCAACTCGCGGCACTCTTGACCAGATCGGGTGTATACATCCGGACATTCCGCCTTACGCTGACGACCCGCACAGTGCGGCGCCACGACGCGGTTGGAGCCTCTCTGCTTTCTTGATCGGTGGACGGCTCTGGGAGCATGGCTGGGTATCCCCGAATCCAATCTTTCAGCCGTGTCGGTACACCAAGAGAGGCAGCGCTACCAGGTCCCCCAAATGAGCCGGATGACTCATTGCTTGGTGCGTCCTGCCAGCGAACAAACGCGAGAAGGACGTGCTCCATAGCATTGGTGGCACGGAGATATTGGAGATAAGTATGATGGAAAGGTAGGGCGGCAGGGCCAAGGCCGAAGAGGAGAGGGCCGAAAAGAGGAGAGAGGTTGGAGGGGTGTGACCGGATGATGAGGAGTGTGCCGTAAGGCGGGCGAGGAGGGAGAGAACGTTGATGATGATCGACTGAAGAGACTGTTGTAATGGTGCGACGAGTGCTTCGAAATGCGTCGTCGGATAGTCCAGGACTATAAACGGGAATCAATATTGCTAAACGCAAAGCGGGACAGAAAGCACTTACCGACTTCGGCTTCGCTCCATTCGACATACATTTCCCAGGAGATGAATCCGCGGACGGCATTTCCGTCGGAGACACGCAAAACCCGTGCGAGGCCCCAACGGAGACACATGGCGAGCTCCGCAGGGGCCGCAAATCGGGCCTCTTCGCGCCATGTGTGCTCCGCGTCCGGCGCAGGGAACGAGACACAAGTGCGAAGGAACGCCTGGACGAGACGACGAACGCCGGAAGAGTTGACGTCGAGGGCGAGGCTGGAGAATAGGAAGGGCGTGGTGAGTCCGCGGGTGCCGAGCTCTTCGGTAACGGTGTGGACGAGGCGGTCGACCTCTTCGAGCCCGAGCACGATGTGATGGTGACAGGATAGGTAGCCATAGTCTTGCTCTCGCCCGCGGTGGCCTCCTGTGGTCCTCATGGTTAGCAAAAAAAATTCTCAAAAGGTGCGGCGAAGCACGAGGCCCGTTGACGGGGCCACGACTAGGTGCGACACGCGAGCATGGCGCACCGCATTGTCGGTGATCGACACCAAAAAACGCGCGAGATGACGCGGGGACAGCAAGTGGGTGGGGAACCACGATGGGAATGGCGCTCAGGGGAAAGGAGCGATGATATCGACATAGATAAAAGTACGGACCTCGTTCTGAATCGGACGAACTCGTGGCCGGGTCGCCGCTTGGGGGGTCGAGGTTGAGCGGGAAAAAGCTGCCGTCGGGGATGACGGGCTCCTCGTCGCTCAGCAAAGGGCCGGGGGCCCTGCCCTTGGCAGCGCTGAGGGTGCGGGAGCGGGTCTTTTCGAGGGCATTCTTATCTTTCTTTGCAGGGACGGTGGCGGGTGTGCCTCTGGGAGCGGGTACTGCGAGAGCAGAATTCCGGCTGGACACGCGGCCAAACTCGTCAGAGTGTTCTGTGCTGGGCCTCTGGGGCTTGAGAGAGGAGGTTGTCGTGCGGGAGCGGGAGAATAGGCTGGGCATGGAGGGGTTTGACCCAAACGACGGTCAGAAGGGAAAAAGGGCGAAGCGAGGCGACTGACGACCGTCGTTTGTTCGGTGCCTTGGCTTTCCCTTTGGCCCTGTCCGCCTGTCCAAATCCAGACGGCAACACCCGGCATCCCTCTCTCGCCCACATTCCCCGACTCAATCGCCTCCACAGCCACGGCCACGGCCACCACAGCTCGCGCACAGTGTCCTTGACCCTCCTCTTCATTTTTTTTCTTTTTTTTTTCCCCTCTTTTTTCTCCCCTCTGCCTCGTGCTCCCCACGGTGTTGCGCCCAACTACCCTGCTTGGATGGCAGGCGCATCACGTTTCTCTGACAGGACTGCGCCTCACACCCACGACGCCAGATATATTCATCAGCCCGTGTGTTCTCCCTGGCTGTCTGCCGCGATCGGCACTTCTTTTCTCTGATTGATGGGAATGCCGGCGGCGCCAATATATTATTGATCGCTGCGTCTGCCTTGCGGCCACTTCGCTGTCGATTTTTTCCTCAATTCCAATAGATCGTCAACTGTACATCCTTTACGAAATTTCTGGCCAGACATCGGTCCCGCTTTGACTTTCCCCCCAACCGCATCGTGTTTTGCAGTGTTCTGACACGGGCACCGCATCTCGGATTCGGCTTTATGGGGCACCACCCAGTGCATTTGAGAGATCCGGTCTCTGTGCTCACCTCCGTATAGAGTTCTGTCCCTGTTAACAGAGACCCGGTGCCAGTTTGATAACTGCGAAGCGACCACATCTATTGAGAAGCTCGACGTTTTGAAGGTATCGAAATGTAATGTGAATAACGTAAACGCACTTCTGCGGGTGTCGCAGATACCTGTACATACAGTTATGGATGTCCAGTAGCTGTAGCCATCTCCACCGCATTGATTAGTGATGAATAATGATTTCTACGTAAGCATCATTCAGGTACCCAGTGGCTGTCCCTGTTTATCAGCGCACGCAGCCGTGCCCCGCGCCATCGATACAGAATGAATGCAGCCACTACTGTACTCTATTAGTTGCGAAGGGCAAGTCCGACCCCGCATTGGGGGCGGTAAAATACCCAAAGACACGCAGAGCGGGACATGTGGAGTGCGCTTGCGCTTGTGACATCACAAGGATCTTGATACCATAAAAATGGATGATCAGATCGATCATCGTCTTCCCCAACAACGCGAAATTTGGGCCGATAGATGACTGGATGACTAGCCACTGACGTTGACGTTGACACGACCAGTGCGTCGCTCCTATTGCACCTTGATAGCCATATATAGGCAGCACCGCGACGAACTCATTCCTGCCTCCAACACTGTCGAGAAATCAATGGGCCACTGTACTGCAGAAGAGTTGGGTGATATTTGAAATGATTGTCGTTAGGCTCCTGATATTGTTATCAACTACAAAGTTTTTCTGATGTAGATAACAGCACGAACAGAGATGAAAGCGAATAGCGCAATCGTGCCAAGTCGCGGAAATGTTCCAAGAAAGGTGGCCCGCGATGGACTCTTCAGTTGAAAAGACGACAACTTCAGGCTGTTGAGCTTGTCGACCTCCGAGGTCGGAGGCGATCTCTTAACCCACCGCGTATTCGCCTATCATACGTCCGCGTTTCAAGAGTACAGTATGCCGAGATTGAAATTTAACAAATTCCCGGTTCAGGTTCCACCGCCACGTCAGCGTGAAACACGGGAAAAGCGAACGTCGATCGGTAAGAGTCCTCCGAGGGCTTGCTGCGTATGGAGTGGAATCCCACGAGTCGATGAGATCCACGGTGATTGGCCACCTGGCTAGCCCACGCGACCATGGGCTCCCGCCACATATGATGAGGTTATCTCATTCGCTGTTCGCTTCATGACCCGAGAATCAGACCAAGACCTACCGTCGGCAAAACAGGGATGTGGGTGGCGCAGGCTGAGGGCCACACTCGCTTGGAGTGGCGGACCGGCGGTGGCTCATCTTGAGAGCCCACTGACTTGCCACTATCTGGGCCCTCATCGCGTGCGGCTAGCAAAAGTCCCGAAAACGGAAAAATGGACGCGTAGCATCAAGCATATCCCATGCGACAGCAGGACCATAGGACTAGACTCACCGAATTGCCCCTTAAGCAAAGCTTCCCACCTCTTATTCCCATGTCAGGCAGAAGGACGCACGCTCAACCGAAATAGACCACCTCGTTTGTTCGTTTGTTTCCACCGCTCACGATGGGGACAAGGGTCCGAGAGTTCGATAAAAGAGAGCAGGTCCGAGCCGCGCGACGGGTGACGAGAGCCTCTAAACGATTAGCACAACACGCCTGTCTGGGCGAAATCAGTGGCGTCGCGAAATTGCGATTTACCCCCGCGCGAGCCCGCGCGCATGCGTGCAGATAACGAAGTTGTGTTTAATGTAACACGCAAGGCACGGAATGGACAAACGATAGACAGGATTGCGCCTGCAGTCATCGCAGCGCCGTCCATTCTCCACACCCATATTGTGTCCGAAAAAGGATCGTATTTGCGGCGTGCGCGGGGGCGAAGGAATAGCACCACGCCCATGCGTGTGAAGAAGCACGCCGCTAGTTCCGAAAAATTGTCGCTCCAACGCTTTTTGTCCCACACCATGCCAATCCAGCCCCACTCGCCCCACTCGCCCTGCTCCAAGTTGGTCGATCGAGCGCCCGAGGATTGTGATGAGGCGCATTGCGGGGAGCAGAGCGACCGGCAAAGACCGCGGGATCCCCTTTCCGATGGAGAGAATGGTGATGGATGGTGATGCGGTGATGGATGAGCGAGGTAAGCACTGCTTTCCTGCGGCCCGCTCGGACCGAGTCTCTAGCACCAAACTGCCAGGCCAAACTGCCAGCCACAGACGCAAAGGGTCGTATGGAGTGAGGTACTAGTGTAAGCATACCGGGATCGCAGCTGAATCAGGCTACTCCTACAGCTACCCACATGTTCTTCTCATGCTCATGCACTCATGGACCATGCAGTGCTTGACACGGCGTACGCATTTTTAACTTTTTACACATGCCTCTCATCTTCAATTCAAGCTCCTACGGCACACCCACGGCCTTGGATTGAGCTCAAAAGAAAAAGTGCTAGCCCACCGCGAGGGTCGAACTCGCAGCCTTCAGATTACAGTTTGGATGTGATCTCCACCCCACCTAAGAGTCTGACGCTCTATCCGATTGAGCTAGGCGGGCTTGTTTTTCGATTTCAGAGGTGACTACTAGTCGAAGAGCACGGCCTGGGACGATGGTCGCGAACGATCTTCAATTGATATCAAAAGTTACCCCTGTGTTTGTCTCGTGCCAGGGAAATGGACCATGGACCGGCGTATGGCAGGTTTTTTTTAGCTCCTCTGTGTGTGCCTATGCAATGGATTGCTGCGGAGGCATCAAGTGTGTGGAACGCCTAAGCCCACGGCGCGACCTTGGGCGCGATAGAGACGTGATTTCGCGCACACCTTCGAATGATCACGCGATCACTGTTCAACAACTCTTTAGACGGCTTCCGCAGTCCTCGCATGAGTGCTGCGAGGAACGACCCATGCTCTGTGGTAGCGGAGGTTGTACCTGGTCGCCTCCGTATCTTCGCCTTGCTGTTCTTCGCGTGGCCTGCATACGTCGTATCGGACATTCATGCGACAGCCGATCTGAGCATTCGTCATATTCGTTCTCGGCCATATCTGATGACCGATCCATGGGGTCGCGCGGACGAGATGGTGTACCGTGACCGGGACAGGATGGCACGTCCCACGTCACGCACGAGCTCTGCCTACTTGCATGCTTCGCAAACACACGGGGTACGTATGTCGAACAACGCTGCGCAATAGTATTACAGCCATCACCATGGCAATGCCTAGGAGAGTAGTATTTCATCGACTGCAAAGATGCGACGATAGATGGACACTGCGTTGCTGGGACAAATATGCGAGTGTGTGAAGGTAGACAGTTGGGGGTAGGACGAGCCTATCTGGGAAGAATTGATAATAGTACACGGTAAGAGAATGGAAGTCCTCCAAAAATAAAGCCGAAAGGAAGAAAACAAGGCTGTGTAAAAAGCTCGGAGAATAAAGTGCAATCCAATGTTAGAGAATAAAGCCCCAATGAAGATTCAGGAGTGAAACGGTAGCAACAAGTCAACGGCCCGAGGGGAGAGTGACGACCGGGAAGACACCAACGACAGAGATCATATTCGGTGAGCAGCAAAGATATGAGTCAATGAAAAAAAAAATAAGACCCAACTTGAAGGGATTACTCGATTACGGGCAGAGAAGGAGGTCATTCTGTAGCGAGTGCAAGGCTTGATAGAGGACGAACGATGATCTGTGCATCGAAGTGGCGGTGAGATGTCAGGCATGGGTGGTGCGGCATTTCGGGAGGACTCGATGACGTGCGAAGGCATTTCCGACGCGTCTCGTGCAAGTACAAGCCTTCCCAGCAGCGTTAACGGGAAGGCTCACCTTTGCACAACGTGACATCACCCCCGGTGCACAACACGCACACAATAACCCCACACCTTACGCCCGGCTCTCCGAACAATATTATAGACTGCCCTTGGCGCCTTCCGCACACTGGTGATGGAGAAATGCCAAGAAATGGGAAGGGTAGACAAGAATCGATGCAAGAAGAAGATTACCGCCCCACATATGCACAGCGGCCGATGTTGGTAGCGGATAATCTCAAAGATCGCCCATGTAATCAGCAGGCATACGACGAGCCACCCTTTCGCAGGTTGAAGCGCCAGAGAATCTGAGCAGGCGACACGAGCACAATCAGCGCCCTTCATCCATCAGCGAGCTTCGACCATGCGACGCCGCTCACCTGTAGGCGATTCCCGGGCCCTAGACAGTATTGGAGACAATAGACAGGCTAAAAGCACGACATTATCTGCAAGCTCCTTGGTGGTCGGATGGATGTCCTGTGCAGAGACGCCACTCAAGTGAATTTGTACATAGCACCTCGACGCAATCCCCACAAGCATCAAGATCGTTGACAGAATATCATTCGCCAAGAACCGATGAAATGCTATGAAAATCGTGAAATTAGCACTCTTCATTCATTACATCCAAGGTCCAAAGCAGGGTGTGAAGCTCACCTCGGAGATGGACCACTTTTGTAAATTGTTGGACGGTTGTGAATGTGCCCAGGATAAGGCCAACAATAACCACAACGAGCGTAGTTCTGAGAATAATAGGCGAGTGAGGTGCTTGGGCATCAAGCTCGCTACTCGATCTGACGTTCGTCACGAATCGTAGTAATTCCACCACCGGCCGTAGAGAAATGAGCGACAAAACAAAAAGATAGACTGCATGTAGGCCGTAGTTAGTGAATATAACGAAAGTTGCATGGCAATGGGTGGAACGCTGCTGCACTCACCTTCAGAACGACATATGAATTTCAGAATAGGAGGAGCCAAATCCGCTTGGAAAACATTCGGGCAAATATCTGGGCGTTTGTCTTGGAGCAGCCCGAGATAGTATAATCTGCGCGTAAGGGTCATCAGTCGGACAAACCCAGCCTTGCCTGGTTGCAAAATGAAAGTATACATGATGGCCAGAGAAGTTCCCGCGATCAAATCTAGCGTCGTGGGCGTGATTGACTGCCCGCGGTAAGACAACACCGCTTTCGGGATTCCGAAGGCTAAGATGATGACGATGTTGAGTAAACGGTATCCCGTCAGTTCGACCCCGAAAGGTGGTCGAGTATTCTGGTTCTCCTCTTCCAGCGCGTCGTTTCTTCTACACGAGTCAGGTATTACGTCGAGTGAACAAAAAACCACTGACCTTACAACTGAGCTCTGGTGGGTAAAGGAAGCTCAGATCCAGCGTCGTCTACAATATCAAAGGGTTTTTTTTACCTGGATGATACAGCGCTACAGCACTCACCACTGGAACGACGTACGACACCCAAAATATAAGCGGTCAAATCGACTTGTAAGAAACGTGGGCAGACTTCTGGGTATTCGCATGCGAATACCACGAAGAAGTGAGCACTGGGTACGATCAGTTGGACAAAACAACCTCTCTTGATTGTAAGAGGGGAGCCTACATGAAGCCCAAGAGTGGCCACAAAAATGCTTCCGCTTTCGGTGAGATGACCAACAATTTGTGGAAAGATGATACAAGTTTCCAGGTTATCATGGGCAGAGCCACAGCGATGTAAAGCAGATGGTAACCCATCAGTCTAAATCTTTGTTCACCCTGCTTATCCTCATCCAATGCGTTGTCGCTTCTGCATGGCGGGGTCAGTGAAGGGGAGGATGAATGGGCAAAAACTGACGGACCTTGGGTCCAAATTTGTAAGCTCAAACTGTCCGTGTTCACCCTGCTCCGCGATGTCATTGGATTCCCCCGACATACCGTCGCGGTAGATGGAGAGCAGAAAAAAGAGAAGATAAGGCCAACAGTATACGCCGTGCTAGACCTTCCCACGGGCCGCTCGGTCCGAAGCACTTTACGCCCTCCGAGAAAGCCACCAGGCGCAGACGTTGGACCCACGACGCATCCCCAAGAGGTCGAAACTCCGTCTGAGTTCAACGGCTGGGACCGAGTCTAGGCCGAAGGGAAATACAAGCGACCGAACGAACGACGGTCGTCAGTCGCCTCACTTCGCCCTTTTTCCTTTCTGACCGTCGGTCGTTTGGGTCAAACCCCTCCATGCACAGCCTTTTCTCCCGCTCCCGCACAACCACCTCCCCTCTCAAGTCCCAGAGGCCCAGCACAGAACCTTCTGACGAATTTGGCCGCGTGTCGAGCTGGAACTCTGCTACCGTCGCAGTAGCCACTTCCAGAGGCACTGCAAAGAAAGATAGGAATGTCCCCGAAAAGACCCGCACCCCCAGCGCTGCCAAAAGCAGGGCTGCCGGCCCTTTGCTGAACGATGAGGAGCCCGTCATCCCCGACGGCAGCTTTTTCCCGCTCAACCTCGACCCCCCAGGCGGCGACCCCGCCACGAGTTCGTCCGATTCAGAACGAGGTCTGCACTTTTTATCTATCTCGGTATCATCACTCCATTCCCCCTGAGCGCCAATTCCATCGAGGTTTTGCACTTGCTGCCTCCGCGTGATCTCGCGCGTTTTTTGGTGTCGATCACCGACAGTGCGGTGCGCCATGCTCGCGTGTCGCCCGCGCTTGTGCCTCGCCCCTTCCAACCAATGCACCGTTTTAAAACAATTTTTTGGCTAACCATGAGGATCACAAAAGGCCACCGCGGGCAAGAGCAAGACTATGGCTACCTATCCTACCACCATCACACCGTACTCGGGCTCGAAGAGGTCGACCGCCTCGTCCACACCGTCACCGACGAGCTCGGCACCCGTGGACTCACCACGCCTTTCCTATTTTCCAGCCTCGCCCTCGACGCCAACTCTTCCGGCGTACGTCGTCTCGTCCAGGCGTTCCTTTGCACGTGTGTCTCGTTCCCTGCGCCAGACGCGGAGCGCACATGGCGCGAAGAGGCCCGATTTGCGGCCCCTGCGGAGCTCGCCATGTGTCTCCGTTGGGGCCTCGCACGGGTTTTGCGTGTCTCCGGCGGAAATGCCGTCCGCGGATTCATCCCTGGGACATGTACGTCGAATGGAGCGAAGCCGAAGTCGGTAAGTGCTTTCTGTCCCGCTTTGTGTTTAGCAATGTTGATTCCCGTTTATAGTCCTGGACTATCCGACGACGCATTTCGAAGCACTCGTCGCACCATTACAGCAGTCTCTTCAGTCGATCATCATCAACGTTCTCTCCCTCCTCGCCCGCCTTACGGCACACTCCTCATCATCCGGTCACACCCCTCCGACACTCTCTCCTCTTTTTGGCCCTCTCCTCTTCGGCCTTGGCCCTGCCACCCTACCTTTCCATTATACTTATCTCAAATATCTTCGTGCCACCGATGCAATGGAACACGTCCTTCTCGCGTTTGTTCGCTGGCAAGACGCACCAAGCAACGAGTCATCCGGCTCATTTGGGGGTGGACCTGGTATCGCTGCCTCTCTTGGTGTACCGACACGGCTGAAAGATTGGATTCGGGGATACCCAGCCATGCTCCCAGAGCCGTCCACCCGATCCAGAAACCAGGAGAGGCTCCAACCGCGTCGTGGCGCCCGCACTGTGCGGGTCGTCAGCGTAAGGCGGAATGTCCGGATGTATACACCCGATCTGGTCAAGAGTGCCGCGAGCTGGGCTACTCGAGCTCCAAGCGGGGTGACACAC